ACCGCGAAATTTACTTAGAGAATATCTCATATTGCTGCACCTCCCATTGACGCCCTTACTGCTGACTAGCCAGGGAGATAATCAGCATGCGGTGCAGCTCTTTTACAGTTAGCGCAGAAATCTTCAGAAATTCACTCTCTTTTGCAACCGGACAAGGAGGTACGAGAGAACATAAGACGAAATTGGGACGTAAAGTGAAGGAGGGAAATCAGACAAGAACTTCCGATAGAACAATTCTGTTTTTCAATTCTGTTGCAGATATTTGCTATCAATCTTTATCCTGATCACAGAACGGACTGGTCCCTTCGCATAACTGCGGATATTGTTTTCATCCTAGAGGACCAATCGATGTTAACCAACCGGCTGTACAGCACCGCCCGTGAATGGTTCTGCCGATGGGCACATCTGGTCGTCTCACTATTGCTACCTTGATCTTTTTCACTGAGGGATCAGGGGTTTCCGGTTGTTTCATGGACGCAGTGGGTGTTCTTTTAAATAAGCTGTTTTTGAAGGCCCGTAGAAACCTTCTGCGAAACTGCGCCCAACTGTCGCTGACGTTTACGCTATGGCCATTGATTATGTTATTTTGGTCACAGTCACAGTTTTACAGGTATGGTCTTAGAAATCAATAACAATTTAGTGACAAAATTTCAAATGAGGATATTCAGTTCATGCTCAGTTGGTCTTGTAACTTCGACTCATTAAAAGCACTTGAAGAAAACAAACAAAATCAAGACGAGACGATACATGGCGAAGGAACGGAAAATTTGTAACTGTTAAAATGTCAATCTTCCTCGCACTTTCATGATGGGGCTAGGCTGATGCCTTTCCTCTCAAGAAGTTAAATGGCAGGAGCGCTGATTTCCATGTCCATGTCATCAGCCAGGAGTGACTTTGTATTAAAGACAAGGTTAACAGTAAGCATAATGCGTAGTTTCATGTTTCCTTCTCACAGAGTGATACTCATTTATCAACCTCTGAAGGAAGAAGGGCCACTCTGACTGGGACTAGAACCCGGCATTTCTCGGTTCTGAAAATGGCGCACTACCCACTAAAAACCCTGGTCTGAAGCAATAAGCAGTAAATTACTTGCTTAATGGCATTCGTGAATAAAAAAAACGTCTGCAGTCGAACGAAATTGAACCCGGCACCTCTCGAGTCGATAAAGGCCTTTTAATCAGGCGAGTTTATGATCTTCGTTTAGCAGTCGATATCTCAAGGCATCAGTTGATTGTGACTCTAACAAGCAACGTCAAGAGGATGCAAATAAGATTAGGGGAAGACGAGAAACAACTTACAGCGTGAGCATAGAACGTCAGAACATACATAATATGTCAAACGGAGCAAAGACAAAAGACAAACAAATAGAAAAAAGCGTTTAATTATAGAAAGCAATCTACCAAATTTAGCAAAACAAAAAAAATGAAAGAAATGATGAAACAGCTTACTGCATATACCACAATAAATTACTCACCGTGAAGAATGGGAAGGGTTTGGAAATACGGACTTCACAAAACACAGAGGTATCATTCATATAAAGGTTAATGATGACGATAATTTACTTAACGCTTTGCATTCCGTTATTTGTAATTTGCTAAAGTGAAAGGAGTTATCTTGTGATTCGCTACAAATTAGAATTGGCTTTCGCGTAAAACTCTTAATAGCGTTGAATTTTTTGAACTGTACTTGCTCATCTTAATACAGTATTACAAAGCGTTGCAAGGTTAGTTTCTCAAGGTTTGTGAAAAGGATATAGTAGTTTCCGCATTTGCTGTAATGGCGATTATATATTTGGACACAATGTCAAGAAAGTAACAATCCCCATTTGCAGAAGAGTAGCTGCACTGATACAGTGAAGAAAATGGCGGCAGCAAGTAAGTGATTGTTGTTTCGTATTCTTTTCTTTTTATGGCTTGTTTGACAGGTCTTCCTGATACATCGGTTTTCGAAAACATCATAATGAAACTGAAAGCTCAGGTAATATTTTTCTGTCCCCCCTTTCTGATGGCAAGTGAATGTGTCTAGTCGAAACAAGTGATGGAAGAAGCAGCCGTGAAGCGTTTCGTCTGTGAGGACGGTAACTCGGTGACTTCGCTGTGCGCTACCGTCGAACAGTGCCTGCGCAGCGGCCTGAGAAACCGCATATTCGGTCTTTTTGGCAGAGTTTCAACTTTTGCCCTGTTGCACAAAATTGCTCCCTTTCATCAGCCAGCTGCTACTGTTCTCCAGTTGACTGTTCAATCAGAAAAGAGGCGCAGTATCGAAAGAAGGTAAACCCACCGTATAATCATATCGTCTAGAAGAACGATATTTCACTTCATACGAATGAAGGCCATCGAATGTAGTCTTTTACGTACTTATTGCAAATTGTATGTATACTACTTCTTTTCCTAGGATGATGCTTCGTTAACTTTGCTGGTTCTGTCTCTCACTCAAAGACGTCATTTTTGTTCTTTGAAATGCTCAAGTTGTAGCCTTACTCCATAGACGGGTGGCTTGGTGATAACTGGTTGGCTGCTTCGAGTCGTTTTTTAGCGGGGGGGGGGTGGTTATGTGGCATA